TACCTTTTTAAATTCGTGCGGATCCCTACTATCAATATGCCGAAAACTAAATAAACAATTGGGGGCTTATATTAAAATTATAGACAAAAAACGGTGCGGATATAATGTTAACATTTTCTTGTGATTTTTTTTTAATATCTCGGATAATGTCTCAAATAATGTCAGATTTTGGAATGATATACCATTTTGGAATCATAAGGTTCATTACTATTGACATTGAAAATTAATACAAATAAAATTAAGACTTATGTTGATTTTTTATATATCTAGTGAATATTGGAATTCCTTCGGATTACGATTTCCCATTGGCGTTCAAACTTCCTAGAAGAACTTTTTACACAAGATATTATAAAAAAACCTTCAAATTAATTTAGATATCGGCACTGATCCGTTTTATCCAAAAATTATGATGTTGACACCTTGTTATTTTATTACAAGTTCATAAAGCTATGCTATTCGAAAATCTGACTTTATTTATCTGAGATATTTCACAAACTTAATAATATTTATTATATTCTCATTATTTGAACATTGTAATAATTATAATAATAATTTTTGATCAGCAGTAATTGAAATGTCGGAACCAAAAAATATTGCATTAAGGCAAGATCAAAGATCACAATTAATTGATTGCAATTCAAGTCACAAGAGACTCAACACTAAAGCCAAAGGGAAGCTCAGACTACTGTGTATATGTATATACTATATATATATTTGTAGATCAGTTGTATGTGACGCAAATATTGAGGCAGGTTTCGCATACGTAATTGAATGACTCTGTACTCATTTTGACATCGTTTATTTATGATATGCAGTCTGAATCGCGTGTAGGTACTAAAACCAGTTGAAAGGCTTAAGAAGAAAATAAAGAAGTACATTTAAGGCAAGCTGATGCGATTACGAATAGTTGGTAGCATGCTGAGTAATACAAGTTCTTTTTTAATAAATTATTTACAATATTGTAAAATATATATATTATAATTAAGTACATTATTCAAAATGAAATGAGTAATTCAAGTTTCGGCCTTACGACAGATTTGCTTATCACTTCCAGCAAAGTCGTGAGTGATTGACAGCGTCGGGGAGCCGGGGAATTTTCTGAATAGCCAAGGCAACGCGCCATATAAACAAAAGAAACCGCCAAACACTGCAAGACACACACAGAGAGAGAGAGAGAGAGAGAGAGAGAGTGTATGTAGGAGAGCAGCATTTAACTTGTAGATTCTGCCAGTTTCTCTCGCGAAAAGCTCCCTCGCCAAGCTCTGCTCGCCTGGCGCTCAGTCGCTGCGTGAATCTCGAGTTGAACAGTCGCATCGATCCGATAGATAGAAACTGACGAGCTGCCAGACGTGATCTGCGTGTGTGCCGTGTGTTTTAATTTTTATTTGAATATTATCTTAAATATTATCGTGTGCACAACATGGCCACGCCTCCTTTTCGCCTGCTCTTGGCGATGATCTGTGTGAATTACATGGCGCTGGCACAAAACCCAACCCAAGCACCAGTTGGGGCTGGGGTCGCAGCGCCTGGCCCTAACAACCATTGGAGATCGCGCAGCAACTTCCGAGTGCGTTAAGTATACGTAAAACAAAAAATAACTTGAGATATAAGGAGAACTAAAATCTCAAGAAGTTACGAGTGAATGCGAAATTAATTTTAATTTCTGTTGGGTTCAACGGGCTCCGTCGCGTTGTTGTTGTTATTGTTGCTGTTGAAGTATTATCTTACTATATATACGCATATATACTGTACCTTCTGCAGCATTATGGGACGCCTGCTCCTGCGACTACGCCCCCACAGCATAACGAGATCAAGGAGCTGGTGACGAACTTACACGACCGCGTTGGCATCTTGGCGACCTTGGACGAGGACCAGCGCCACCGTCTGGAAGTGATCGATAAGAAGTGAGTGGATAGATTTTGAGAAAAGGTTGACAACAACTTTGATCAGACAATGGAACGTGTGCCATCTCGCCGAACAGGTTTTTTAGCACACAAGGTGTTTTTTTTTGGGAAAACCGGTAAAACAGAAACAACATCGAAAAATATGTTTTTTGGCATTTTGTTTAGTTTTTCGGGCCCTGTCGAGCCCGTCGCTTACAATGCCACATTGATTATGCGGAGATGCGCCATTCTCAATGAGCCATTGAGCAACGCGTAATTATACGTGAGTGCGGCAAAAAGTATCTTTGAGATACACAACAGCAGCGCACACACTTGTCGGGCCAATTTACGGTGCCATTGTCTGCTTTGCTGTTGTATTTTATTTATTTAGCTTCGGCAAACATTTCGCACACCTTTTTAGCTGTTTATGGATTTGCAATTTGTAGCTGCTTTCGTTTCACTCAATAAATTATCCGAATTCACATTTGTTTACCCAAAACAGCAGACATCTTATGTATAGAAACGGGCTGATAGCACATTTTGGCATTTTTGTATACAAATTAAACGCATACTTAATTATCTTGCCAGAATTCGAAATACGTCACAAAGATGTGTGCACGAGGCGTTAACTGGACTCTAAGTGTACATTCTGATAATGATAAATATAATTATTCTTCTAAAATTCGCATAATGTTTGCGCCCGCATTGAGTCATGTACTATATAAAGAGGTCAGCCATATATTCTCCGATCGATCTGAAGTGCGATGATATCATGCTGCTCAGTTGCAAATACATGTGCACATTATCTGCAAATATGCGCCGCTTTCTTACAATTTCGCAGCTTGTTTAGTCGAAGATTATGAAATAAAAAATTGAATTAAATGCTATATATATATATATATGCTAAATATATATATATATTATTTTCAAATAATATAGCATACACATATTAATAAACAGACAAAAGCCAAGCAAGGCACAGTCGAGTCAATGCGAATTTAAATAGATAGTATTTAATATGATGCATAATATATTTGATTATTTTTATTAATTTGTGTGTTCTTTTAGTTTCTTTTGTAAGAACAACTCAATCTTAATTATCCTCGGAAAGAAACCTTGGTTAATATTCAAATATATACTAAATGCCACAACTATTAAACACATAGATTAAACTGTGCTGATTGATTGAATGACTGACTGATTGATGATCAACGCTTTGTGCAAAACATAACGATGGGAAGCTAAAAGGCTTACAGAAGCTACCATATGAGATTTAATTACATTTATATATATTGAACTGATTGGCTGACTGATTGGCTGACCGACTGACTGACTGACTGACTGACTGATAGATGATTAACCATAGGAAGTGGAAGCTTAAGTGCTTACAGTAGTTACCTTGTGATTTTATTACATCTAAATATATTATACTAAACTGTTTCTTCTGATTGACGGATTGACGGACTGACTGACTGATTGATAATTAACGCATAATCGTATGTGATTTAATTACACGCTAAGACAGGGCCTTCACAAATTCCACCCCCAACGGGAAAAAACGACCGCATGAGATCATTTTGCTTATTAATCAGGCTTCAAATAAGTTTTCAATGAACCTTTTGAGAATGCTTTTAGAAATTTGTCACACTTTTCAAAAAATGCAACCCTCTGAATGGAAAATTAAAGGCAAAGGTTGCGAAAATCCAAGTCGATTTCGATTGACTTCAAACCTATTTTTAAATCTTTGCATTTAGAAAAAAACGCTAGCAAAAGATTTATTTGTAATTATTTTTTAAACGTGATTGGGGAAAATCCACTTCGTTGAGTGGAAATGGGGGTTAAAGGCAGAACGGCAAAAATTCCAAAGGGGAAAATAATGCATCAAATTAGAAGATACAAATTTGATCAGCTTGTTTCTAATATATGTATTAATAATAAAAAATTAATACCTACCACTTCTTTTTGTCGCACAGGGTCGATCAGCTGCTGGACAGCAATACGGGTCGCATGGAGTCGCTGAAGGCGCAGCAGCTGAACTTCCAGCAGCGGCTGGACAGCTTCGAGCACATCCAGCGATTGACGCGGCACACACTGGACGAGCTGAAAGGTGAAACCGACCAATATCTGGGATCCCGTGTGGCCAGACAGCTGAGCCAGAAGCAAAAGAATCGCGACAAATTGCGGGGTAAAAAGCAACACAGACTCGAGACTCGACTCGAGTTTCCGCTTCCGTTTGATTGATGTCGCTTTAATTGTTGTTGTGCTGTGTTGCTGCTTGGCTCTGCGCTCGCTCTGAAGACCCGCAATTAACACTCTGCTCCAACCATTTCACAGATCTGTCACGGCAGGTGCGTGCGACGCCCGAGGAGCAGCCATACGTGGCCACCAACATGGCCAACCTGTTCGGCAACCAGCCCGCGGCAACGGGCAGCCCCTTCAATGCCTCCCAGCTGGATGTCTCCAGCCGCCTCGATGCCCTGGCCACATTCCTCGTCTCGCTGGCCTACAATGTGCGCGAGACGCAGCAGAACGTGGGCAAAATAGTCCAGAACACCAAGTAAGCTGATCCGAATCGAACCCGAACCAAGCTCAATTGAAACGCGCAAATCTCCCGCACAGCAACATCAAACGGCGCCTGGCGAATCGGAACAAGGCGCAGTCCGCCCAGCTGCCTGCAGGCTTCGCGCCCGCGGCTGCTGTGGAGGAGCATGCGACGAGCTGCCTGCAATCCTATTTGGCTGTCAATGGCATCCTGAAGCTGCAGCTGACGCCGGAGAGCGATAGCTTCTATGTGCCCTGCGAGGACGACGGCTGGACGGTGGTCATGAATCGCTCCTCGGACGACATCAGCTTCGAGCGCAGCTGGCTGGAGTACAAGGAGGGCTTCGGCAACCTGGCCGGCGACTTCTTCCTCGGCCTGGACAAGCTGCACGCGCTGACCAGCTCCGCGCTGCACGAGCTGCGCATCTGGCTGCAGGACTTCGATGGCAATGTGGCCCTCGCCGGCTACGACTCGTTCGCCATCAGCGGCGAGCGGGAGCTCTACGCGCTCAGCCTGCTGGGCAACTTCCAGACGCAGCTGCAGCCCCCGGCTGGCGACTCGCTCTCGTATCACGCCGGCGCCAAGTTCAGCACGTTCGATAACGATAACGATAACTGTCTCGAGTGCAACTGTGCGCAGCGGCACAAGGCCGGCGGCTGGTTCAACGCGTGCGGCACCAGCAATCTGATGGGCGTCTACCACGCCCAGGGCCACGAGCAGGCCGGCGAGACGGGCATCTACTGGGACACGTTCCAGGGCAAGGACTACTCGCTGCGCCGCGTCAAAATGCTCATACGCCCCGTCGCCGGGCAGGACGAGGCCCGCCGGTAAGCCCCCGGCCTAACTGGGCCCAACAACTGCCATACGTCAGGGATGCCAATGCCATGTTCTGTATACTCCAAACCCAATCTTGCAAACGTCAGGGAAGCCATGCCTAGCTCCGCAAACTCTAACCCCAATCGTGCATTTTAACTCGTAGCCCTTTAAGTTCGAGCTGCTGCGCGTGTGCGTATACGTCTGCTCAGCACTGTGTATTTATGGAAAATTACCCTAGTTAATAAATGTGTCGTGTACTCTCGTCCACTTGTCCCATTGTGCGTCACCTCGACTCGACTAATCGAGCCATTAGCTAATCGTAGCTGCAGCATGCGATCCAAGCCCTATTTAGGCTCCGGCTTGAGCCCAACCCGGCTCAGATCAGATCGGAGCCGCAACATGTCTGGAATGTTTTATTGCTGGCTGCTTGTCCTCTGCCAGCTGTGGAGCCTGCAGGCGGCCAGCCTGGACACGCTGGCCCAGCAGAGCAGCATCTACTATCAGCGCGTGCCCGTCGAGCTGAGCCTGGAGCGTGTGGAGCAGCTCTCGAACGTGGACTCGCTCAAGCTGATCGTGCACGGCTTCTTGGGCTCGCGCAGCCACATCTCCATTATGCCGCTGCGCAATGGTAAGTCGGATCCTTGAGCTCTCTCCTGGTTGCCGTGCTGATGAGCTTTCATGTCAGCCTACCAGGCGCAGGGCTTTGAGCATGTGCTGATTGCCGACTGGTCGCCCGCTGCCAACTTGGACTATCCCAGTTCGCGACGTGCCCTGGGCAGGGTGGCTCTGGTGCTGGCCAAGCAGCTGGAGCAGTTTCTGGAGCGGCACAATGTGTCCCAGGAGGCTGTGCACATCGTGGGCCATAGCCTGGGCGCCCACATTGCCGGCCGCATCGGGCGCTATTTCAATGGGACCGTGGGTCGGGTTACGGGCCTGGATCCAGCTCTGCCGCTCTTCACGGCGCGCTCCGAGGACGGCCTGCGGGCGAATGCTGCTCGGTTTGTGGACGTCGTACACACCGATTACCCGTTCTTTGGGGATCTGACGCCGCGTGGCACTGCCGACTTCTATGTCAACTTTGGCCGCGCACCGCAGCCGGGCTGCGAGGAGGTTGACCTGCTGGCGGCCAGTAAGCTCATTCTGGAGGCTTGTGAGTGCCTGAAGGCGGCTCACTCATGGCTTTGTCTAATCTGAATCTTGCAGATAGCTGCAGTCACAATCGCGCCGTGCTTTTCTATGCGGAGTCAATTGGCCTGCCCAGGAACTTCCCCTCCATTCCCTGCAGCTGGAAGGCCATTAGAAGCAGCAGCAGCTGCTTGAAGGGTTTGGCCGCGTTTAATCTGAACAGCACGGCGCTCGAGCTGGCCATTGGCAATATGGATGAGGGCCAGGTGGTTTATATGGGCGAGCAGGTGACACGCAGGTGATTTGACTCTCATTTTAGCTGCAAAGCTTTGATTTAAAGCGAATTTTTTGTTAGCGCCACCTCTTATTACTTTCTGGAAACTAATGGGGTGCCACCTTTTGGACAAGGCGTGCACGCCAAGTTTGACTAAGTTTGGCATCAAGCGACATCTAGAGGTGAAACGATTCTCGAACAACAGAGGGCGCTCGCATATCAGCCAGCTTTCAACTGACTGCGATTGTAAAATGTGCTGCGCTTCAAAGCTGATTGCTCTAAAAATAAAGAACGGGGAGATTAGGAAAATTAGCTTAGGCTTATTTCTTAGAATTTAAATGGGTTTTAAAAAATAATAAACTTAGATTTAATTAAGATTAATATTTGAAATAAAATACTTAATATGAAGCTGTCCACTGCTAAACAAAAAGTTTTCAATATTTTACTGGTGACTGGGACACGAAATTGGAAACAGTTTTTGGCGAGATTTTCAAATTCGCAAGATACATATCTTTTACAAAACCAGCAATGAAAATCTTCACTTCGGATTACTAGTGTTATATAGTTCGCTTAGAAGCAATCTCTCTTAAATTGCCATACTTTTCATTATCTGGGGAAAAGCTAAGACGTCTAAGACACAAATTTAGTTGAGACTTGTGGAAGTTGAAGAGGCTTTTCGAATGTCTTTCCAAGCAGGTGAAAATGACAAAAGCAAATTAAAAGTGCATAAGTCGCAGATATTAAACATCCCGTTGGAAAAGCATTAAAATTAAATTTGTCCTGACAATTTCATGTTGCGCTAACCGCAAGTTAAATTTCTTTTCAGCTTTTCTTTCTGGCCACAAATGAAATTTTATGAATGAACTTCAGATGGAGATGCAGTTGCAGTTGTTGTTCTTGTTGTTGTTGCTAGCAAACTGCAGAGCGAACTGGGGACCAAGCCGCGGTTATTTATGGGCCAATAACTTAACAACAAAACGCTCATCTACATTTAATGGCGATAATTTTTGACGCAATTTGAGAAACACACGCAGCGGCGGCCGCTGCGGTCCCCAGCCCAGACGCGACTCGACTCGACTCGGTTCTTGGCCTCAAAGAGAAACCAAGAAGCCAACCGCAGCAGATAACACAAAACACTTGACACCTTGGCGAGCCTGCAGGCGAGTCCACAAAGCGTGAGGCTGCCACCTGAGGCAAGCGCAGGGGAGGGGGCAGGGTGCAACAGCTCAGAGCGGAGCACAATAAAAAGCGGAGAGAAACAAATAAACGCGGCGATCGTAAATTTACAATAAAAAGATCCCAAGTCGAGCGGGTTCGCTTCAACAACAGACAGCCAGGGAGAGGGGGCCATGTTGTAAATTCGAGGATTCTCAGTTGGCAACAGCTGGCGGCATTCCTCGTGTGGGTGGCTGGCTGGCAGGGAGATAACCTTCGTGACTTCACGCGACGTTCTAATTCATTGCTTGACTTGGCTTGACGGGGCCAATTGCTGGGCGAGTGCTTGTTGGCAGGCACTGTGTTTGAACTGGTTCCACAAATCGATTTCAGGCTTCATTGGAGCCGCATAGCGCACAGGAAACTCCCGCACTTTGCGCTCAGCTTTTCTTTTGTTTTCCCCAACTGCTTGTTGCCCCCCTCTCCCTACACACACCTCTCCCCTCTCTGCCCTATCGTTCATTCTTTGGCGCAAACACAAATGCGTAAAACTAGGCCCTATTTTCAGCCTCATTCCCCCCTCTCTGTTTGCCAGCCCGCCCCTTGATCAAGCAAGTTGATGCGCTCGGTCAAGCAGCGAGTTGTTGTTGCTGCTGTTGTTGTTGCTGTTGTTGTTGTTGTTGCTGTGTTTTTTTCGCTCCGAGCATAACGCTTAGGTTCTCATTTTGGCTCATTTTCCCCCATTTGCCTTCATTCGATTTCATTTCCATGTCGATTTTTGTCGTTTTGTCGTTTTTGTTATTCCACCTTTTGTAAATTTGTGTCATGCGTCGGTTTTTCCTGCTCGGTTGGCTCTTGTTCTATTGTCGTTGTTGTTGTTGTTTTTCTATGTTTGGCTTTAATTTCTGTTTGCTGAGCAAGAAAAACACACACACACACACTCGCACACACTCAGACAAAGAGTTGTTGATTTTCTAGCATCATTTAGCCCTCAAATGAGGCTCTCGCGTCTTTTTGCCTAGCTTCAAATAGTTCCGCTCCAATTCGAATGGTTAAAACAAAGAATGCCCAGGAATTGCGCACAATATTGAGTTTTTTCTCTTGCTGTTTGAGTTTAAAAAGTATTTCATGGAATTATTTTATAAAATCTTGATCTTAAAGAAATTTAATTAACTTTTTCCATTCTCTCTTCCATTTTGTGCGGAGGTCCTCATGCCGCGTTGCATTTAAATTATATAATTCCTCAACTGTTTTGACACATTTCTTAATGGCACCTCACACACACACACGCTTACACACACACTCGCACACACTGGAGTGAATAAACGCAAAGGCAAAGCCAAGCAGACAAGAAGAGAAATGATATTGTAATTGGCAATCGCTGTCGTGCATAAATCACATGCATAAATTCAAGCTACGGACATTTGGAAGCGACACCAACGCGTTCTTTAAGCCACCCTCACCCCCTCGCCCGACCACCTAACCCCCGCCAACACCCTAGCTCAGAGCTCAGCCCGTGCTCGTCCTCGTTGCGGTCGTTAGTTGGATTCAATGTTGATATCCAATTGGAAAAATTTTCATTAACTAATTGAACATTTTATGGCAGCGCAGGTCGCACAGTAATTCAGCTACGGACTCGGACTCGGAGCTGTAGTTGGCGCCAATATTGATGACAAGCAGTAAGAGGGGCGGGGCGGGGCGGGGTAGGTTCATAGGGCACACAAACACACACACACACAGCAGGACAGCCTAATCTGCGGCGGGCAACAAAAAACAGGCCATGGCAAAGCAGACACGAAAGGACATTGGCACAAATGAACACACGCACACACGCACACACTCAGCTGATATGATGTCTGTGTGTGTGCGTGTGCCTTCAATAATTTACGAGGACACGCTTTGCTCGAACTGCCCTCGCAGTGGCTTTTCCCCCCGAATACACACAGGTAAAATGCTAGAAATTTGCATAACTGTCTGATGGGAGGACGCCGTGGCGGATGTTAAACATTAGCGCGTGCTGGACAGCACCCACCGCAACACCCGCTCGCCCCGCGTCCTGGCGAGAAACCCCAAAAATAATTAAGGTGAAAATTGCTGTCGACACGCAAACTGCAAGAAGGTAATCGCCAGGCGAGGGGACAGCTCGGAATTCTTCTTCTGTTGTCGGCTTTGAGAAATGACCAAACGAGCAGCTGATAAAAAGCGAAGAGCAGCCAAAAAATCGACTCTGACCGATTGCGGCACAGATGACTAATGAAACCTATTAGCCCTGTGACAGATGAGGAGACTGCGTCTCTGTCTCTGACTCTGACTCTGTCTCTGTCTGCGTCTGAGTCTGGATCAGCCCCCGATGATGGATAAGCTCATTAAACTGAGCCGCAGACACAGGCGACCAGATTGCTGCGGTCGCCATTCTGGTAGCCCTGGGATCAACCAGTAGCTGCCAGCTTGACGGGATCGCTGGCGGCACCATCTATGTGGCTGACCCATGGCTTGTCATTTAATTGAAGCTTGCCGGTGGCCCCGCCGCGCACTGTTGACATTTCCTTATCGCTAACACAGTTTTTCAACTATTTTCGGGGCCCCCAGCGACCGATCACCCACTCTTGACTGCCCGCAAGTTCCGCTTGATAAATTCGAGTGGTTAAAAGGCTTATCCAGGACGTGACAAGCTGAGACAGCTTCTAATTGCCGAGCCTGAGACCTGT